CCACGCCGCTCCCCCCCCGTGTCCCTGCGCCACTCCCGGCAGGCCGGCCACTACCTGCACGAGGAGGCGGCCCGCTACCCCAAGAAGATCCACTACCACAACCCCCCCGAGCTGGCCATGGAGGCCCTGGAGGTGACCCCGTGCTGGCCCAGGGCGGGGGAGCAGGGCAGGGAAGGGGTGGGCCCTCCGTCCCCCTGGGGAGGGGGCACACGGTCCCAGTGACTCCTCTCCGACTGCTGGAAATGTCTGTGTCCGACCGCCGCGTGCAGTTACATTAAAGCAGCCTTTCCTGTCGCTGAGGGTCCTCCCATCCTTTCTGGGAGGGCGAGCATTTCGTTCTTACGTCTCAGCAGAAACCCTCTCTCCTGTGAGCACACACAGGTCTGAGCCTGGCCTCGATGGCGACAGTGCAGTGCAGCATGCCCCGGGCCCCGAGGCGCTCACCTGCAGCCTGGCAGGAGGGGCAGGCGCCGACGTGCTGGGGCGCAAGTGAGACAGGCCGACCCGCCAGGGCCCCAGACTGGGCCTGTACTTCCAGCTTAGCGGGGCCGAGCAGGGAGCAGCCTGCTCTGTTGACCCTGACTTTGGGGTCTCCTCGCTGCTGCTCAGCCCCACGTGGTCTCTCGCTGCTGCTCATAGCAGTCCTGGAGGAGGCCCCGTGGCCACAGCAGAAAGGACATGGACGGGGCCCAGCCGGGTCTCAGCGCCCCGAAGGCCTGCACCTGTCAGCATGGCCCTCTGTAAGCCTGCTGGCCACCCTGCCAGCCCACACGTGGCAAGCTTCCTCGAGTTCAGGCGGAATCTGCTCTAGTGTATCCCTTTGTCTGCCTTTGTGTGTTTTTTTTATTATTATTATAAAATTAACACATACTCTTTTTTTTTTTTTTTTTTTTTTTTTTGGTTTAAAAAAAAATCAGATTAAAACAACTCGGAAGTGTCCAAAAATACTAAACCTCCAGTGTTCCTAGTGCCCTTCCCCAGTGTGGGTATGCCCTGTGTGTCCAGAGTGCCCTGCTCACGTAGAGACACGCGGTCACGTTTTCTAAGGGTTTTGCAGCTTGCCTTTCCGTCGGACGAGAGGTGGTAGGTGTAACGGGCGTCCTCGTGCCCGGTCCGGTGCCCTGTCATTTGGGCCTTTGCTCTCTGCACCCTGTCTCAGTGGGGCCGGCCGCCCCCACTCCTGCCGTGACACAGGCAGTGTGCGTCCCCGCGCTTGTGTCAGTGCGCCCCTCCTGCGCGTTTCCCGGGGCCGAGGTCTGAAGGTGGACTTGCCTGGTCAGGTGCCGCGTTGATCCCCGGCATCTAGTCCCGAAAGGTTGGACTGGTTGGTGAGTGTGTGTGTGTTCTCCCTCAGCCGTGCTAGGACCTGGTTTGTAATGTTTGCTAAGCTTGTGAGCAAACGAAAACGTCTCGTTTTAAAGTATTTACTCTCTTAAAGCGATGTGTGCTGAGTTTCTAGCTGTTTTACACTCGCAGCCCCAGAGTCTGTCCTTCCCAACACTGTCCTTTCATGCTGTCCACCCAGGGCCACGTGTTTTGGAGCAACTCCACTTGATGGATGAGAAGCCCGAGGCCCAGACAGTTGGTGTGAATTGCACCATCACTGTCAGTGGACGGGAGCTAGGCCAGACCCCGTGGAGCCCAGGGCTGTCGCAGGCCCCTGGGCAGGGCCGAGCCTGTGCGCAGCAGGAGGGGTCCGGCCCTGGGCAAGACCATGGCAGCTCTGTTTTTCCTCCATGGTTTTTTGTTCCCCTTTGGTCTCTGGTGCTGTCTGATAGAATCAAGGAGCAGACAGGGTGATGGCCTCAGCATGTGCACCACCCTCCTGAGACACCCTGCACGGCTCGGAGGCCGCAGAGCTAATGTTCAGGGTGTTCCGTTCGGCATAGCTGATGTAGCCTTGTAAGTTTGAGTAGCCACTACACCTGTCTGTTGTGTGTTAAAGATGGCAGTTCTCAGACCAGCCTGTGGCCTGGTGATTAAGACAGCTGGATTCCACATGACAGACTATATGGTTTGAGTCCTGGACCCAGCAGCTTGAAAAACACACCCGGCATGTGTCCACATGCCCAAATCCTAAAGGAGGGAGCCATGGAGGCGAAGGGATTGTGGTACCATCCCCCACAGGGAATGCTGCCTGCTTTTCCCCTCCGTCTCTGTCTGTCTGTCTTCAGCAAGTCCACACACTCTCTGGCAAAAGAGGAAAAAAAAAGAAAAGACATTTCTCTGAAGGGTTTAGTCCTGCCCTGGTGACAGTTCCCCTCTGCTGTTGAGCCTGCCTTCAAGTCACCGTACCCACCGCTGGGTGTACGTCGCCAGCTGATCACACTGACCCCAAGTTTGGCCCCTCGGCGGGCTTGGCCTGGAGTGACTGGGCTGGCTTCTCTGGCTTCCACAGGAGTGCTGGAGGTGGGGGGATCCTGGCTGTGAGCCCCCTCTGTTCAGGATGCTCCTGAGAGGCGGCCCACTGGACTGGCAGGCGGTTCACCTGGAAGACAACTGCCTCTGGGCGAGCGAGGCCATTAGTCAGGACCTGGCTCCCATTGTACCCTCCACGGGGGAGCAGCAGGCGGGAGCCCCGTTACCCTCACACCTGGTAGGACGGTCAGGTCAGGCTGGGCTGCCCGTGGAGGAGCCCACCGCGTGGTGTGGCCTTTCCACGGGGGCCAGAGACAGGACAGACTGTGGTTGAACCGGCCCTGGGCTTTGGCAGATGAGGGGCCTCGGCTGCTTACCCCGCCTGCTTACAACCTGCGGCATGTCGGAGGTGGAGGATGGCACAGGGCCTGACAAATGCAGGGCGCCGCCTCGCTCACCCGCCTCACGCACGGGCAGAGGGCTGCGGTACAAAATCCAGCAGGGAGATGGAGGTGGGCTCTCCTTCTGTGGGTGCCAGGAGAGGGGCACAAGAGGGCGGGGACGCCATGGTGGGAGGTGGCACCCAGTGAGCAGAGCAGAGCAGCCATTACTGTCATCCCCAGCACCACGTACCTGGGCTCCTGGGTGAACGTCGATGCTGCAACGCTGAAAGTTGGTGTCCACTTTAATCTCCACACCATGTTTGGAATGAGTGAGTCTGCCTGGTTAAGAGCTAAGGCGAACAGGCAGTGTGTGAGGCCTCTTGCCCCAGTCAGGGACCGTTCCCGGTGTGGCAGGATGGCTGTGGAATGAGCCATGGCAGCCGGGAAGGCTGCTCACGCCAGAGGTGTTGTTCTCCTAGGTGTACTTCCGGCTCCACGCATCCATCCTCAAGCTCCTGGGGAAGCCCGATTCTGGGGTCGGTGCAGAGGTCCTGGTCAACTTTATGAAGGAGGCGGCAGAAGGACCCTTTGCCAGGGGCGAGGAGAAGAACACCCCCAAAGCTTCAGAAAAGTGAGTGGCATGCTTGCTGTGACCCTAGGGGCCTGTCCCTTTTGTGCCCCAGATGGCTCATTGACTGTGCATAGTGTTCCAAGGTTGCTCCTGAGCAAACCAACAGGCAGGCTCTGGGGCCTGTTTGAAAACTCCTAGTTGCTGGGCCAAGGTGTTTGTGTTGACTCTGAGAAGGAGAGTGCGTGGTCCCCAGTTCCCTCACGCTGGTGCCTCCCTGCTTTCCACAGCAAGTCCTGGGGAGAAACTGCTGCCCTTCCTGCCTCTCTGTGGGGGCACAGCTCTCTTCTGGGCAGAAACTGGTTTTCCTTTTGTAGATTCTTGCCCCTCGGTCCCTTGCCAGGGCCTCCCAAGGGTGAGGAACCTCTGAGGGTCTGGTCTGTGTCCATTCTCCCAAGAAGCAGCGATGGCTGTGAGAGGCATGGACTCGTCTTTCTTTCTTTCTTTTTTTATTTTAAGGAATGACTTACTTAGTTTTATTTATTATTGTTATTTTAAAATTTGCTATAGGTCACATGAGCTTGCCAGAGAAAGAGAAATAGAGAGGGGGAAAGTGAGAAAGCAAGCTGCCAGGTCTGGGATTCGAATCACAGTCAGCCATGTGGGAGTCCAGCACCCTAACCACCACACCACCTGCCTGCCCTGGCACAGGCTCCTCTTGCAGTGCCAGAGCCCGAGGAAGCTGGAGCCCAGGTGCAGTCCCTTTGGTGGGCCAGGACTGACCGCTAGTCTCCCCCTGGCTGTGAGGCATCTGGGGCCCAGACTTCTTTCCCTCTGGTGTCCACACCCTGTTGCTTCAGCTCAGCTCACCCTCTCTCTGGAGCTCTGAGAGGGCACGTGCCGGCATCATGAACACCAGACAGCCCCGCACCCTGTTGTGCACCCTCACCCATGCCGGGGAGCAGAGCCCGGCTCCCTGCAGTGTCCCTCAGCTGATGGGAGCACATTGCAGGTCACCCAGTGGGCACAGTGTGTGCATGAGTTACAGGTCTGTACTTTGTAGTCACGAAGGACCCCCCCCCGTACAGAGAAGCTGCCTTTCATTGTGTTTTAAATTTGTTTAATTATACAAATAATAGATGAGTACATTGTAGGTACAGACAATGCAGGCAGTGTGTAGACATAGATTAAGATATGACATTTCCCCTCCTGCCCAGAGGGGGCGACTCTTGACAGTTTCATTCTCAAATCACTTTTCGTGCATTTAGACACACATTTCTGTGTACACGTACACTGGCAGGTTTCTTTCTTCTTTTTAAATTAGGGCTTGTGTATTTCTTCTGAGAAACAGACAAGACAACAGTCCCAACGAGGTGTTCACACTGTGATCCACCCCTCTTCTCAGCCAGTCCTGACCGCTTATGTTATAAACATAAACTATTGGGACCAGTGGTTGGTGTAATGGCTATGTCTCTGGACTCCCATGTAGTCGACCGCGGTTTGAGTCCCGGACCCGGTGGCTTCAACTCATGCCGGGCGCGTGTGCATGCGTGCCCAAGATCCCAAGAGGAGACTGGAGGAGAAGGGATTGCGACGTGGCCATCCTCCCTGGGGGGTGATTTCTCGCTTTCTGTCTGTCTCTCTCTGTCTGGCGAGTGCATGCACCCTGTAGCAAAAACCTCTCTAAAAATAAATAAATAAATACATAAATAAATAAATAAAATTTAAAAATATAAAAATGAACTATTGACGTGCTATTCCACAGTCTAGCCTTATAGCTTACTAGTTAAGGGAGCGGGATCCCACATGGACAGCCACAGTTTGAATCCTGGCCCTGGCAGCTTGAGAAACGTCAGGCACATGTGTGTGCATGTCCAAAAGCTAGACAGGTTAGAGAAATGGAGGGAAAAGAGCGTGGTGTGACCGTACCCCCTGCGGGTGCCTTCCCCTTCTCTCCCGCTGTCTCTGTACTCTCTGGCAGCGCAGACTGAAGTGCTGTTCTAGAGTTTGCCTTTCTCCACTGGTGGTGGGTGTGGGACTCAGTCCTCGGAGATTGCACCCGCTCAGCCCGTGCTTCCTCACAGCTGCGGTAGCTCACAGATGTGTTGCTGTGTTTCATGGACCCGTCTGCCTGACACGCGTGTCGCCCACTCCCGGGCTTAGCCGTGCTGTAGCACACGTCCTTGGGCTGTGTTGTGAGGTGCAGTAAATCTGGTGTGTTTCTGTGTGACCATGTGTCAGACCGTCACACGGAGGTACTGATCGAGCTGGAGCTGCCGAGCTGCTTCTGAGAGAGGCTGGTCACTTCCCCTAAGGGCCTCCCAGAGCCCAAGGCCACAGACGCTGGCGGTGTCGGCCAGGAAGACTGGGCAGTGTGCAGTTAGAAGCTGAACCCCCTGGGCTCTGTGGGGCACTTCCTCTCAGGCTCTGAAACACCAGCAAAGTGGGCTGGGTGCCACTGGAGGTGCCCCGACCTAAGGACCTGGCCCGCATCGGCACAAGTCCGTTTCGGTAGAACAGGAGACCTGACCCTGGCTCCAACTCTGTCTTCACAGGGAGAAGGCCTGCCTGGTGGATGAGGACTCCCACTCTTCAGCTGGGACACTGCCGGGCCCCGGAGCCTCCCTCCCCTCCTCCTCTGGCCCAGGTCTGACATCCCCACCTTACACAGCCACTCCGATTGACCACGATTACGTCAAATGTAAAAAACCCCACCAGCAGGCGACGCCGGACGGTACAGTCCCTGTTCTCCCTCCTGCCAGCCCAGGGCGGCACGCCAATCACGGGGAGGGTGCTCGGCGACTTTGTTTTGTCGCTTTGTTTCGGTGAGGGGGGTGCTGGGTCTGGGTGACACGGGCAATGTTGCGGCTGCTCATTAATCTCATGGCCTCACGGTGATTCTCGTGCTTCCAAGACATGCTCAGGGTCGCCACCTGCCAGCCCGCCCATCTGGGAGCCGGGGAGGGCCAGGCCGGGCCTAGGTGCCCAGCCACTCTGAGCCTGCATTTTCCCACCCGCAAAATGGGGGCGCTGGCGTCTACTTTGAGGGGCAGTTAGGAGACCGTGGGCCACCCGGAGTGGCTCGTGGCGTAGTCAGCTCCGCGATGCCCACGTCGTCAGCCATGGGAAGGCAGTGACTAGTGCTCAGTCTGCCACTCCTGGGAATCCAGTGGTCTGGATGGGGCTCACCTGGGACGGGGTGCGAGGCTGTCCCATGTGGGCGGGGACAGGTGGCGACTGTTCAGCCTCATTCCTTACTAACACCCGGAGGCTTGCATGCTGGCCTGCAGCTCAGTATCTTCCTGTCCTTACCCTCCCAGGGGCCCAGGGGCAGGCTGGTAGCAAGGTGCTTGCCGGGAGAAGCCAAGTGGGTGGACGTGGACGGCCATCACAGAGGAGCCCTGCTTGTGGCAGTGCTGACAGAGACCTGGGTCCTCACCCGCATGTCGCTCATCTCATCTGGGCTGTGGGGAATCAGGCCTTGCTCTGCCTTCCCTGGAGTGCTGGGACGTCCCTAGGTGGGTGGGATCGTCCCCAGATCTGTGCCTTATACCAAGTGGCTCCTCATGGCAAGACGGGCCCTCTGGTGCGCCGTGGCAGCCTTGAATTTGAGGCCCAGCGTAGGGCGGACGGAAGGAGCTGGGCCTGCCCTGTGCACTGGCCTCTGCCTCAGCTTCCTGAGCCGTGCGGGCAGGGCTGGGTTCAGGGGGGCACTGGGGAGTCTGAGGGGCGGCCAGCGCTCGGCTGCTCTGGGCTTGGAATTCGGTGAGCTGAGAGGACAGGAGACTTGCCCGCCCCCTCCTGGCTTTGGACCTGCGACCTGCGTGTTGAGAGAGAGGCTGAGGGTCTGAGTGTGTGTGCCGTGTGCCTCCGACACCTCCCAACGGGGTTGAGTCACTGTCCCCGTCCAGCCTTGGCACCTCCCTGTAGGTCCCAGAGTGCTGGGCAGAGACGGGAGGGGCTGACTCTTCCACTCCTGCTCCTTCACTTCTGCACACACTCCCAGGGAGGTCCTCGCTCGCCACCTGCCTAACTGAAATGCACCGAGACCGCCCTGTCCCCAGCCTGTTACTCTTGAGACAGTGAGAAAACACATTAGCAGCAAATCCCTGCCCTGGGGATTAGCTTCCGCCAGGTTCTTCCTGTGGGATTGCACCATGCCATCGTTTCCCGGAGAGACGGCTGCCTTCAGGGCGTCCACATGCTTCGTGGCCCCGCTCGTGCACCCCAGAGGTGGGAGCAGCAGCCTCCCTCCCCAGGCCTGCAGGCTCCCTCGAGCCCTGGTACAGATGCCACCAAGCCTGGCTATCTGGTCCGCAGAGCTGGGCATGCCTGCAGAGCAGGGAGCGGGGAGGCGGGCCTGGCTCAGGAGGAGGTGCGGCTGTCCCATGCTGGCCCCTGCGTGTGCCTGGAGCTGTGGGGGAGCCAGGCAGGGTGCTCAGGGTGGCCCTGGGCACCAACGTAATAGTCACTTGCTGCTCTAGAAGTCTGAAGAGAGGGCCATACAAATAAGCTCGTGTCGGGAACCAGCAGTTCCGTAATGGCTATGTTGCTGGACTCCCACGTAGTTGACCACGGTTCGCGTCCCGGACCCGGTGGGTTAAAACTCATGCCGGGCGCGTGTGCGGGCATGCCCAAGATCCCGAGAGGAGAATGGAGGAGAAGGGATTGCAGCGTGACCATCCCCCCTGGGGGGTGATTTCTCGCTTTCTGTCTCTCTGTCTCTCTCTGTCTGTTTGGCGAGCGCACGCACCCTATAGCAAAAACCTCTCCAAAAAAAAAAAAAAACCAACAAATAAGCTCGTGTCATTTCAATGGCATATTTTGGAATACTTGTAAAAACATTTTTGTCAAAGTGATTTCTGTCAATGCAGTGGAGCCACTGGGGTCCCATGGCCCACCTCTGCCCAGCTGTAGCCTTGGTGCACAGGGAAGGCACGCAGTGGCCGTGTTGTGTGCTCTGCCCAGGCCGGGCCACACAGCGTCTCCCCTCGGAGCAGCAGTGTCGCCATGTGAGGACGGCCCTCAATAGCCGTGGTCCGATGAGGCATGTGTGGCCCTTTCAGCAGCTGCACTAGTCCCTAGGGAAAGGTGCAGGCCCAGGTGGGAGCAGCAGATTGCTGTCAGGTCTGCTGGTGGCCTCAGGGCCACACCACCCACCCGTCCTCCTGCTTCCTGACCGACCCTGGGAGGAGAGCCATGGCCCACACTTGCCACTCAGCTTGAGGAAGGCCCCACAGGGGAGCCATCCTGCTGCAAGGAGGCTGGTCGGTGAGGCCAGACCGGACAGAGCAGGCCTGGGGCTCAGCACCTGTGGACAAGGGCTGCACTCCTGAGCCTCGGTCTCCTCAGCCATAGGACGGGGGAACGGAGGGCGTGCGTGTCATAGCCCTCCGAGATGCAGTTCTCAGGTCCTCAGCGGAGCTGCGACAGCAACAGGCAGCACTGCGCAGGGGTGGGGCCTGGGCTCCCGGGCCACTTCTGTGTGCACCCCAGGTGCTGTGGCCTCATGAGAGGGCCAGGCAGTGTCCTCGGAAGCAGCAGCCGTGTGTGGGCCAGGCGTGGGGCTGTCAGGGGCCTGGTCTGCCACCCCACGGAGCCTGTCACGGCCTAGTTAACGTGCCACAGGGGGAGAGGGAGGCATCAGGACTTCCCTTGCAGGTGGCCGGGTGACCCCATGTTAGAGCCGCCCGCCACCATCAGTGCACTCTGATTCAGGCTGGAAATCAGCCGGGTCGGTCCCGATGTGGTGCACCAGCTGGAGCACAGCCCCGGGTGCAGGTAGGTGGCTCGGCCCGGGCACGGGCCGCTTCCGGTCCCTCTGCCCGCCTGCCCCGCCCCTCGAGTGTTGCAGCTGTGTGGGAAGTTCCTGCAGCCAGCCCACCATGATGCTGACGCTCCTTCAAAACCAGTCCCTCTGGCTTCTCTGAGGCGGCGTCACAGCCAGGTGTCCAAGCCAGCCCTTCTCGGGGTTGCTGGGAGGGCTCCCCTGCAGACCTGAGGAGGGGCTCTTTGGCTAGGCCGAGAGAGAGCACCAGAGGGGAACAGCCAAGTCGCAGGCTGGTCTTCAAGCTTCCTGGCCAGAAGACAGTGTGCTGTGACAGCATGTGTGACCTGCACGGGGTCCCGGGTGACTGCCATCACGCTCGCTCACACAGAGCATCAGGAGTTCTGGACGGACGCCCTACTCCCCCCTCAGTGGTGTGTGTGTGTGTGTGTGTGTGTGTGTGTGTGGGCATGCGTGAGTACCTGGGCCCCACCCTGCAGTGCTGTGCTGGCCCAGGGCGGGAGCCTGCCCGGCAGTAGTGTCTCTGTCCTCACAGCCACCGTGCAGGGCTCACTATGTTCTTGTTCCCTGAGCGGAAGCCGAGCCAGGCGGGCAGATGCTTGGGTAAGGCTGTCCACTGGTTGGGGCTCTGTCTCCCCTCAGGGCCAGGGCGAGGCTAACACTGGGAAGCCCCAGTGCCAGCTGACCCGGCAGAGCGCGTCTGTGTGTCCTCGTCCTCGCTGCGTGTCAGTGGGGTCCAGGGAGCAGGGCTAATACGGGCTGGTCCGGCACTTGGCCTGACTCAGCCGGCTCGTGGGCTGTGTCAGCAGAGGCTCTGCTGGGCCGAGTAAGACCCTCACCTCTGCTTTCATGCTGCATGTCACCTGAGAATGCCACAGCCAAGGAGGGACTCAGAGGTAAAGACCTTGCCCCTGGTCAGTCTGGGGCTGAGCCTTCTGTAGGGTTCTTTGGCTGGCTGGTGGCGGTGCCTGTCCAGGTGCAGGGACAGCCCTAGTCCCTGCAGCAGGCGCTCAGCAGAGAGGCAGGTGTGAGTCGGCAGTTACACAGCGGTGGGTTGGGGTGTGACCAAAGCCAGCACCTGGCCTGGGCTCCTGGTGGGGCAGGAGGCCTTCCCGAGGAGATGAAGCTTAGCCTAAACTGTGGGGTCAGCCGAGGGGGCCTTGGAGCCTGCTGTGCACAGTGGCAGGTGGTGCCCGCTGTCCCCACTGCTGTGTGAGCAGGCTGCCCTGACTCCCAGGTAGGATGGGGGCCTGCCCGGGGAGCCCGGGGTGCCAGTGGCCATCCATCCTCACCCACCATGCCGTCACCGTGTGTGTCGTGTGCTGTCTGTGCCCATCCTCGCCTCTCCGCCCCACGCTGCCTCCAGCATTGCCCGTGCTGCCCTAACCCTCCCACACTCTGTTCTCCAGGCTTTGTCTTTCTGCTTGCACCTGTCACGGCTCGCTTCAGGGACAGCACGGACCGCATGCTCGGCCCTCAGTCCGGCCGCTGCTTCCCCTGCGACCAGGAGCGTCTCGTGTCCGCTGGTCCTGTGGTCTGAAGAGTGTGTGTTTGATGTGCTCGGCTTCTGCCCACGGCCCGTCCTCCCAGTTCCGGCCGGATGCAGAGGCAGCGGTGGCCTCTCCCTGCCGCCCGCCGCCCACCCGGCAGGTGGCTCGGTCCTGTGTTTCCATTGCTTTGCTCTTTCTTGCTTTAAAAAAATAACAAAGGCAACAGACTCTGAGATACCAAATTATCTTTACACGGACAAAAGTGTGAAAACGCAGATTGTGCCCAGGAGAAACGCTCTCAGGGGGGCCCCGTGTCTGCAGTCCCCCGCGACCAGGCTGCACAGGCGGGGGCTGCCAGTGGGCCCTGACGGACAGGCCCGGCCTGCTCTCCGCCCTGTGGGCTCCCTTTCCCAGCCAGGGCAGGTGAGTTTCTGGTGGGAACGTGTGTTCCTGTGAGCAGGACTCAGTGTGGGAGAGACTTGAGTGGTGTCAGGCCGGCCTGCTGGCTCCCTCGGGCAGGGGCACTGGGGAGGCTGTGAGGACAGCCTCTGTTCCCCTGCTCTCACTCTCCACCTTTTTGAAGCTGTAGCTGGTTCGTGGCATTTATTGTCTACTGTGTGCCCGGCATGGCACGGGGGAAAGACAAGGTGAGGGCCCCGAGTCCTTACTGCCAGGTTGGATCTGTGAATTCCTATGTGGTGTCTTGGGACAGTGGTTGGTACCATGAAGGAGTGTTCTGGGCTGGCAGAGGGGAGCAAGCTGTGGCATTTGGCAGGTTGGGAGGACTTCCTGGAGGAGGCAGGCTTCCAGAGAGGCATACAAGGCCATTTCCCATGAGAGATAGTGAGGCCAAAGACATGAGCTTGGAGAGTCCCTGTGGCAACATTTAAATACTGAGGTGACTGGGGTGAGTGAGAAAGAGACTTTGTGGGGATAGAACTAGGGAAAACAGCTGCACCGAAAGAGTGGGGCTTTTCCTGTGGGCAGCAGGGAGGGTAACGAGGTCACACCCCTCCATGTGGGTGCTAAGTCGGGGGTCCTCCCTGTCATCCTCTGTCTGAGCAGCCTTCCCGTCCAGCTGTCCAGGTGGCTATGGGGCACCGGCCTCCTGGCCAGCGGAGCTCTTATTCTTTCCCCAGCCTTTGTGTTAAGAGGGCGCTGCCTACTGCCTTTGGTCACGAGGAGGTTCAAAGGCTCCCGAGGCCTTCCCAGTCCGTGCCTTCCCTGCCAGGGAGCGGTGCACCACGAGGCTGTCTTGTACTCTCTGAGTGTCAGGTTCCCGCGGGGCCTGGCATCGCTCACTCAGCACTGGCCCACGAGCCCTGGCTGCACCGTAATGCCCTCTTGCCCGCCTGCCTCCCATGGCTCTGCCTCCTCCTTGGGGCCCCGGGTTTCCAGGATCTCTTCTCTCAGGCATCTGCCCAAGTGTCCTCAGGGCCAGCCCTGCTCTTGCGGACGTGGGTTTCTGTCCCTGGTCAGCAGGGACCAACTAGGGCAGATTTTTGTCCAGTTGAAATATTTTTCAAAATGATTCTAGCAAAGTTTGTGGTTCTTAGAAAAAATGTATATTCTTTCATTTAAAAAAAAATTGTTAGAGGGCATGTTTACTCACTGGCGAGAGACAGAGAGAAAGAGATAGTGAGAAATCACCCCCCAGTGAGGTGGCCATGCCACCGTCCCTTCTCTTCCATTCTCCTCACAGGGTTGGGCAGGCATGCATGCCCTGATGCCTGGCGTGATTTTCAGACGACTGGATCCAGGGCTCGAATTGCACTTGGCCGTGGGATCTAGTCGCCTTAATCACCATGCCATCTACTGGTCCAGAAACCTGTATTTTCTCTTTTTTAAGAGAGATTTTAGCTATAGGGCATGTGCGTTCACCAGAGAGGTAGACAGAGGTAGAGAAAGTGAGAATTTGCCCTCCCAGGGGGGGAGTGGCCATGCTGCAATCCCTTCTCCTCCGTTCTCCTCTGGATTTTGGACATGCATACCCATGTGCCCACCTGAGTTTTAAGCTGCTGAGTCTGGGACTCGAACTGTGTTCGACCATGTGGGAGTCCAGTGACATGGCCATTACGCCATCTGCTGGCCCCAGAAACACATTTTCTAGTTGGCAGGACATCCGTGCGCTCCTCGGGGGTCACAGTCGGCACCCCTGCAGGGTTTGGTGGCACTGCTGTGCATCTCGGCCCTCTGCCTCTCCCAGCCTGAGCCCGCCGACGGGGTAAACGGCCGTGAGCTGCTGCTTCTCCTCCTGCTGGGCGAGTGGGCATGCACTCCCGGGGACAGCATTGCACCTGAGCCCGGCATTCGGGCAGGTCTGGGAGTCCCATGGCGTCCGAGGTCTGAGCTGGGTCACACCTGAGCGTAGAAACCTCGAAACATGGAGTCTGTTCTCGCCTAGGAGGACGGCCGCCTGTCACCGAGCCACGTCCTTCCCCTGTGCATCGCCAGCTCTCATTCCTTTGCAGGCGGCCCTCCCCAGGAGGAGAGGGTGCCGGGGCTCGGAGGCAGGCGGTTTACTCGCAGTTGGCTAGCAGGTGCGCGTCCCCCGCAGGATTCCGAGAAGGAAGGGAAGGCTGGAGTGGCCCAGATGCATCCGTGCGAAATGTTCCCGTGATTAACAGTAAGAGAATCAAATATTTATAATCTTGCCACAATATTAATTAGTACGAGCAGGTTTTATGTGGGCAGATTTTTAAAAGCACATTCTGAAAGGAAGAGCAGGGCTGGCCTGTCGCCTGCTCGCTAGTTCCAGTCTTCTTCCCTTTTGGCCTCCAGGCGACCCCTTACAGAAGTCCACTGTCAGGGCCTGACGCTCAGGCTGGATGACTGGCCTGGAGCGCTCCCTGGTGTGTGGGGGGTCCCATTCAGGGTGCCCGTTAACCTGGAAGGGCCTCCCCACCCGGCCCCGCTGTGTCGAAGAGGCTGTCTGTCTGTCCCTTGCTCTACCTTAGGACCAAGGGGCCTGGAAAATCTCCACCCAGGCCCTTATACAGAGTCTCCAGGTGGCAGCTGGAGTAGGGTGACAGCTGGTGCTCCTTGTCTCTGCCTTCCTCCATCTGGCTGTCCCCTGCCAGGCCAGGCAGACCAGGGGGCTTCTGCCACCTGGTTTGACCACCTTTGCCTGCAGCGTCAGCAGACCCACCCAGTCCTCTGAGTGCTCGGACAGGCCGTTAGCACACACGGTTGTGTCGACCCGTTCGGACCCTTGGCCACAGGATCCCAGAGGAGGAATGCGACATCCCGTAACAGATTCATGGAGGAGGTGGGACTGGAGCCAGGCCTGGAGGCTCAGCTCCCTGCCAGCTGGAAGCTGTGACAGAGTCCCCTCCACACACCCACGCACTCCCCGCGTCCCTTTTACCAGTGTGCGTTGGCAGCATGAGGGCTGTGCGTGGTGGTGCCAGGCTGAGCACAGGTGTCCAGGAGGCAGGCAGAAGGCTGGTCCTTGCCCAGAGACACGTGACTGATGAGGTGGGGAGGGGTCCGAACCCACAGGAGCCTTGCCCCTACTCCCAGAAGTCTCCCCACTCCTGGCCTGCTCAGGGTGCACTGGCTCTTCATTGGCTGTTCCCTTGATGACCTGAGAGGTGACCGTGCAGAGGGGCCTGCTGGGAGTGGGAGGAAGACAGCAGTCGGTAGCACCTCTCCTGCTTCTCCTGCCCACGACACCACCTCCAGGCAGCCTCCAGGGTCTGAGGCTGTCCTCGTACCCTCTAGGACAAGGACCCCTTATCCTTCCTGCCTCATCTCACCCAGCACCTGGGCTGTCCCATCTACGGCAGCCCAGCGAGTGGCAGGGAGAGTGTCCTTGTCACACGCTCTGTGATGCTCCTGCCGAACTCGCCCACTCCTCCAGCTAATCCTCTGTGGCCTCCCTGAGGCCCTTGCTCAGCCGGTCAGAGGTCCGATTCCCCAAGGAAGACAGAGCCATCTTTATGAATGTTTTCATTCCTCTCTTTGACCCTGTTGATGCAAAAGAAATGAAACTCGTTTTCCTTTTGATCTGAGTGGCTTCTTGGTGTGAAATTTGGGGTGGCTTCTTAGTATTTAAAATTGGGATAATTTTAAATAGACTTGTTCCAAGCCTTTCAGGCATACGGGACTAGGCAGGAGCAGGGGAAAACTGGTCCCTGGGCCTTGAGACCCCCATGGGAGGCATTTGAAGAGCTATACTTGTCCTCTCTCCCATGCATGCAGAGGGTCCCCATGCCCCTTCTGTGGTCACAACCTCAGGGATGACCGGGGCCCTCAGCAGGCACCTCCCCTCCTCCTGTCCTCATAGACCAGCTCGGCACCAGCTCTGCCCCCGCAGCCCCTCAGCACTGACCTGCAGGTGGCGCCCTAGGACTGCGGTGCCTCCCTGAGGGCCACATAGGTTCTGTGGCTACCCCTGGGATAAGGGCTTATCCGGAAATCGCCAGTGTCTTCCCTCTGCTCAGCGTGGGGCAGGGGTCACCCATTCTGGGTTCTCATGCGTGTGTCTCAGGCTCAAAGGAGGACCTTGGCGAGCACAGCGGGTAGTCCTCCCTGCAGGGCCCCGGGCTTGCGCCTCCCGCTCCTCTGCTGTGCGTGCCTTGTTAAAGAGACCAGGGCTGGTCCTTGCTGCCGGGGAGCAGGAGCCCCCCGAGTGCTCCGGTCATCCTCTCTTGCCCACTGTTCCCGGCACACACCTGGAGGATAGCGCTTCCCGTACACCGCAGCATCAGAGGGACAGCAGCACGCAGCGAGGACACCTGCATGTCCCATGTCCCAGGGCAGTCCTCGTCTCGCAGCCATAGCAGCTGCGAGTCCACCAACGCGGCGACTGCTTTAGGCCCGAGCCCAGGGGCTTGTGAGCTGGTGAGCTCATGGGGCACGTGCCGGTTGGCGCAATCGTCCTGGCTAGGCTCGTTTCAGAGGGCTGCCCAGCCGTGCAGTGACTTCAGCTTTCTCATGCAGGCTGCAGCGCAGGCCTGACTTCCGGGGGACTCAGGCTGTGGGGCTGCAGTCTGCCGTCTTAGACGCCTGAGGCCTCACGAGCACTGCCTGAGCATCAGTGCTGTCTGTGAGGGCCTGAGCGAACGCTGCAGGCCAGGCACGAGGCTTGGTCTGGGGGATCCCGTGTGTGTGCCCAGGGCAGACACAGGTAGGCAGGCTGTGAGAGTCATGCTAAAAGCATGAAGTGAGGGCCTAGAGCAACAAAACCGCTGGGACAAGGACACGCAGCCCCTGTGTGGCAGACCTGGGATTGGCTTGTAGGTCTAGGACCCTGAGCCCTGAGCCTCTGCAGGGACCACGTGTGGCCTCTAGCTAAGGGCCTCCATTGCCAGCCATCTTTTCCACACGAATAGCAAATGGGCTGCCCATTGTCTGGGGGAGAAGTGAGCCCTTACACTTGGGACTCGGGCGGGGGCTACTGAGGGCTGCAGGCCCACCCGCCACCCCGTTTCATCGCTCATGGAGCCTTGGGGTCTGGCCTTGCAGGTCAGTGACCAGCCCTTCACCCCGAGGCAGAGGGTCCATTGAGGCCCCTGCTCCCCTGCTCACGCACACCCCAGGTTCCTGCTTCCTCTTCTCGCAGCTCAGCTGATACCGTGACCCAGCAGTTACTGGGCAGTGGCTACTGTGAAGGCAGCTCTGAGCGATGGGTTGTGGCAGGCGTTCCTGGGCGGCCGACAGAGTCACTGTCCTCAAGCCCTGGTGTGTGATGAACCATGGGCAAAGGGGCCAGAGCCGGGGGCAGGCTTTGGAGCCCAGGCCTGCTTCTCAGTGCTCCCCGGTGCGGGCCAGCCCGCTTGGACAGTCCTGCCATGCCAGTGTCCGGGAAGTGGTTACTACCCCACTGAGGCCGGGCTGCTGAGGTATTGGCCCCGTTGTGCCCATTCAGAGCTAAGTCCGGAATGGCAGATTTGAGACACCGAAGATCAGACATGCCCAGGTTCTCTGAAGTAACCAGACTGATAGCCGAACTGGCATTCCGTGAACCCTTGCCGTGTGGCAGGCCCTGCCCAAGCCCTTCCTGCCGATTAACCTGCTTAATCCTCATAACGGCTCTGTGAAGTGGGCACTTGTGCTGCCACAGCCTTCCATACGAGGAAGCGGAAGGGTAAGTCGTGTTGGCATTTGCACAGGCTCTCAGAGCTGCCGAGTGACAGAGGAGGATTTCAGCCGTGAGGCCTGGCTCTTCCAGAGTCGAGGCTTTCAAGTGCGTGGAAACGGCTTTCTGTTCCGTGGCAAGACTGCTCACCAAGCAGTTCCTGCCTGCCTCCCGGTGGGTCCCGAGCGGTTGCTTAGCAGATGCTGCCACATCACCCATTACCTGGTTTTTAAAGTAGCTGAGGAGAGAGCTGGAGGGCCCCGAGGGACTGTGCCTGCTCTTCTCCCTGTGTCCACAGAAGCCAGGGTGGCGTGGATCTCTGAGAGGAGGTGACTGCAGTGTCTCTGCGGGAAGGACCTTACGTGCCAGTTATATACCTAGCGAGCGGCTCAAGGGGAACTTGCACATAACTCTCTCGATTCTTAGTTCATTGAGCTTTACTTGCAGATACACAGAATCCAAGATAAAATGTAGTCTTATTTCTAATCATTCTAGTCTCTTACAGTTTATCATTCGATTAATCTCTTTCAAAAATGTAGTTGTTGCCTTAAGATAAACAGAATACATTCCTCTTAGTCCGTTTTTGACATCGCTGTTGTTAACAGAAATGCCGGAGGCTGGGTAATTTATGAAGACGATAGACATTTAGTCACAAAACTCACAGTTCAGTCCTGGGGAGTCCAAGGGCCTCACAGAATGGCAGAGGGCAGAACTCTTAGCACAGCGTGTTCTTCGTCCATGGGACTCACTCCGCTGTTCTGGCCTCCTTCCCTCTGGTTCGAAAGCCACCAGCGCTCCATTAGGGAGCCCCCGCCCTAATGACTTCATTGCACGTAAAGGCCCAACCTTTCAACACCATTATAAAAAAAATTCAATTTTCACCCCCTTAATCCTATTACAGCGTCTGAACATATGAATGTGGTGGGGACATACTCGAACTAAAGCGACATCTCTAATTACAGCCTGCATCCGAATGTTTCTGTGCAGACAGGGTAAGGGCCCGTCTTTGTACTCTCTCTCATGGCTTTTCTTTCTTTTTTTGGGGGACAGGTTTTTGCCATAGGGCGCGTGCACTCGCCAGACAGAGAGAGACAGAGAGATAGAAAGCGAGATCACCCCCTGGAGGGATGGCCACGCCGCAATCCCTTCTCCATTCTCCTCTCGGGATCTTGGGCACGCACACGCACCCGGCGTGAGTTTAAGCCACCGGGTCCGGGACGCAAACCGCAGTCGACTTACCTAGGAGTCCAGCTACATAGCCATTATGCCAACTGCTGGTCCCATTCTTTTATATGTGCTACCAGCCCAAAATACCTTGCTGCTATTTTTGCTTCAAAAAATAGTCAGTAGGGCCAGCCCCAGGGCCTCGTGGTTAAGGTGTCTGGATCCCACGCTGCCAGCCACACAGTTCACGTCATGGATCCAGCAGCCTGAAAAACACTTGGATGCGTGTGCAATGCACGTCCAGAGAAATGATGGGGGAGCGGAGGAGAAGGGATTGTGGTGTGACCAGGCCCCACAGAAGAGTTAAGTCTCGCTTTCTCTCTCTCTCTCTCTCTCTCTGGCAAGTCTATGTGTCCTCTGGCAAAGAAATGAAGAAAAGAGAGAAAGGAAAAAAAAGAAGAGTAGCCAGTGATAGTTTAGAAAAATTGAAAATAAGAAAATGAATGTCAGGGACCAGGAGTTAGCATAATGGCTATGTCACTGGACTCCCACGTAGTCGACTGCAGTTCCAGTCCCAGACCCGGTGGCTTAAACTCAGGCCGGCGCGTGTGCGTGCGTGCCCAAGATCCCGAGAGGAGAAAAGGGGAGAAGGGATTGTGGCGTGGCCATCCCCTAGGGGGTGATTTCTCGCTTTCTATCTCTCTGTCTCTGTCTTTCTGGTGAGCGCATGCGCCTTAGAGCAAAAACCTCTCCAAAAAAAAAAAGAAAACGAAATGTCACATTTACTATTACTTTAGCTATGTCCAGGGGACCTCATTTTTTTGGTATAAGTCCATGTTTCTGTCTGCTTTGATACTCATTTGACCTTGAAAACTGCCTGTAACATTTCTTGTAACGCAGATCTGCAGGTAATGAACCCTGTCAGCTTTTTTCTTTCTTTCTGAGAAAAGCCTTTATTTCTCCTACATTTTTTTGAGATTTTTACTGAGAATAGAATTCTGAGTTAACTTTTTTTTCTTTCAACATTTTAAAGATATTGTCCAGCTTGCATAGATTCTGATGAAAAGTCTGTTGTCATTCATTTAAAAAAAATTATTTTATTGGGACCAACAGTTAGCGTAATGGCTATGTCGCTGGACTCCCACGTAGTCGACCGCGGGTCAAGTCCCGACCTGGTGGCTTAAACTCACGCCGGGCACGTGTGCATGCGTGCCCAAGATCCCGAGAGGAGAATGGAGGAGAAGGGATTGCGGCGTGGCCCTCCCCTCTGGGGGGTGATTTCTCGCTTTCTATCTCTCTGTCTCTCTGGCAAGCGCACACGCCCTATAGCAAAAACCTCTCCAAAAAAAAAAATTATTGAACTTGATTTTATTTATTTATTTAAATTTGACCAGAGTGAGAGAGAGAGAGAGGGAAAGTGAGAAAGCAAACTGCCAGGTCTGGGATTCGAACTGCAGTCAGCCATGTAGGAGTCCAGCACCCTTATGTACCATGTCACCTGCTGGCCTCATAATTCTTAACTTTGTTCCTTTATATGTGATGTGTCTTTCTCTAACTGACTTCAGTATTTTCTCTGTACCATTGGTTTTCAGCAGTTTGAATACGATGCATTTAGGTATAGTAGTTTTAATGTCTTTAAATGTGGGGGTCTTTTTCCTGCTTGGTGTTTTATGAGTCACATTAATCTTGTAGTAAACAAAATACACCTTTAATTATTCACGGTCTGCTTTGAAGTGGTAGATTAATCACATTTAATGTGATTGTAAATTCCCCCTCAGGTAGTTCCAACATCTGGGTCATCTCCCAGTCTGGTTCTTTTGATTGTTTTGTCTCTTGAAAATGCTTTTTTCCCCCCTTCTTTTTTTTTTTTTTTTAAAATTTTTTTTTCCCCCCTTTTTTTTTTTTTTTTTTTTTTTTTGTGTGTGTGTGTGTGTGTGTGTCTATGTGTGTTATAATTTTTATACTGGCTATGAGATATCTTGTGTAGGGCAGGAGAGATTGGAATAAATCATCTTTATGCCTAGAGGGCTTCCTTCTCATGTTCCTAGGCCTCTGATGAGGGAAGTTGAGTGAGGCTGGTCAGAAGTTGCATTTGGTTGGGTTTTGTTGTTGCTGTAACTATCTTCAGTGCACGCTGGCTTCAGATTCCTCTCTCGTTAAACTGTACTTAGAGTAGGCCCTATTTGTCATAACATTTTTCTTAAGGTTCTAGGTTCACCTTCCGCGTTAGGCCTTTTTGTATTTCTAGGAGGGTTTCTGCCCCTGTTCTTGCCCTCTCCCTACGATAGAATGCTTTGCTTATTGTTTAGTGCTTGCTAGCCTGGGGTAGGGGACAGGGGTGCTTTTCCGTTGTCTTGCATCCTTGTGCTTTGGGTGGTGGGGCTTTCTCAATGACCTTGGCCCTTCCCCAGCGGCAGGAGAGGTTTGGCCTCTGGATGGTTTTCCTGCTTCACCCTGAAGGTGGAAGGTTTTGTTCTCTTCCCCAGCTGCAGTGGATTCTCACCGGTGCTCTGAGGCAGCAGACTTTGCTGTCCTTACCCAGGCCGAAGGCTTTTGTTCCTAAAGGAGAAGGATTCCAGGCAGGCTTCATGCCTTGCCCAGGGCAGCCGCCACCCCTGCCCTCCACACGGCACTCCCAGCCGGGTGGTCTCAATCTCCCTCCCCACCCTGCCCCTAAAGTTTCTTTTGAGCACCTCCTGGAGATCTGAGGAGCACAGCCAGTAAGTCCCGACTCTCTTTGTGTCTGCGACTCCCAAGGATCTGTCATAGATTCCCAATCTAGACCACACCTGGCCTTTAGCAGCAGGAAAGAGGTTTTCGCCGAAGTCATTCCGGCTTCAATTGTTTCTCCCTCCTGTGTCTGTAGAAATACTGTCTGGTGGTGGCATAACCGTGCATCTCTTCTCAGCTCCACGTTGAGCAACAGCACTTGGGCAGTGTGAAAATGACCCTGGTAGGAATATTTACACCACAGGAATCGGTACATGCTACGCATCAGGGCTCTTTCCCCTAAAAGCCAATCGTTAAGCATTTACCAATATATTACTGTTGAGGAAACCTCAGGAAGGTTGACTCTGGAGATTGGTGCCTTTGGTGAGTGGCTCAGTGGCCCCTGGGCTAAGTCCGGCTTGGCAGCGTCAGAGTGGCTGTGCTCAGACTGTCTCCTCTGCAGGGCAGTCCCCAGGCCATTGGCAGGGAGACTCGCCCTGGACAGGTTCCTCCACATTGGGGGTGGTGTGGGTTCATGCTCCCGCTCTCTCTCCCTCCTTCTCCCCTCAGACCGCAGCCAGGACAGCACAGCCGTGGCCCTCTCGGACTCCAGCTCAACGCAGGACTTCTTTAACGAGCCCACCAGCTCACTGGAAGGCTCACGTAAGCCTTACACAGAGAAGAGGCCGCCCGTTCTCAGTTCCCAAGGAGGACCCAGCGGCAAAGACCTGCAGGGGGCCACCGAGGAAAGAGGTATAGAGATCAAACGCAGTGAGTTCGAACTGCTCCGATGTCCAGCCTGGGCACAGCGGCAGCCTGTGGCTCGAGAGGTGCCTCTGTTGGGCCAGTCACCCACCTGTCTGGGCTTCCACTTTCCCCCCGTAGGATGGAAGTGGTCCCAGTGCTCACCTCCAGGGTTTAGAGGATCAGACGGGGCAGCTCCTGGGAGGGCTCCCACGGGCCAGCGCTCCATGTGTGCTCAGTGATGCTTGTCATTATGAGCCCACCTCATTCAAGGCGGCAGTGTGCCCAAGTTTTCCTTGCAAAATAGTTATTTAAAAAGTCTTGGGATCCTAAATGTGTCTTTTTTGTTTTGTTTTTCCCTTCCAGTCTGAATCACATCAGGCCTTTAGGAGACCTTTCCTTTTAGGGGAGGGGGTGGAGAGACAGAGGGCCCTGAACTAAGCCCAGCATGTGCCCAGCTCCCTTGGGGTCCCCAATGAGCAGAGCCCACATCTGGGCCCTCGGGGGAGCTCAGGTGGGCTGGCACTGCCAACCTCACTCCAGGGATGGGGCTGGGCAGCTGTGGGTTTTGCAAGCTTTCCCACTCTGGCCAGGTCAGCCATGGGTGCTTGCCCACCAAAACCAGCAACAAGCTAGACCACGCTCTGGGCTCCTGCGTAGGGACTGCTTTACTCACGTGGCCCTCCCAGCCACCGTAGGATAAAAGCACTGGGACTAGCCTCATTCACAAGGGAGGAGCCCTAGATTCAGAGAGGCCAAAGAGCTGGCCTGAGGTCCGTCATGTAGCTTTCAGCACTCGGATGGGGGCCAGGGCTGGTGCTAACCTGCATGCCCTGGGGACCTGGTCCTAGAAGGGCCCAGGAAGGGGTGAATCAAGGTTTAGGAGGTCACCAGTAGGTGCAGTGGGGCTAGAGCTGTTGGCACTACTCCCTGCCAGCCTCCCCTGGCCAGCCTCAGAAGGGGGTGAGGCTACATCCCCTCTAGGTTGGACAGCGTGTCCCCATTAGAGCCAGATAAGAAGGTACCTAACAGGGACCAGCAGTTAGCGCAATGGCTGTCGCTGGACTCCCGTGTAGTCAACCGCGGTTCAAGTCCTGGACCTAGTGGCTTAAACTCACGCCAGGTGCGTGTGTGTGTGCCCAAGATCCCGAGGGGAGAATGGAGAAGGGATTGCGACATGGCCATCCCCCTGGGGGGTGATTTCTCGCTTTCTGTCTCTCTGTCTCTCTCTGTCTTTCTGGTGAGCACACACACCCTGTAGCAAAAAACCTCTCCCAAAAAAAAAAAGAATCACTCTTCCTCTGGGCCCGCTTTCCCTGGTAACTGCAGTGGTGAAACGAGGCCACTTCCTGTCAGGAGGAATAGCCGGGAGGTGTTCCCGAGCTGAGTGCTCCCCCTGGCTCCCAGTGGGCAGCAGCTGCATTCACCAGTCTTCAGGGCTCAAGCACCTTGCAGCCTCCCTGCAGAGGGCCAGGGCCGTGGTGCCCAGCCCAGTGCTGACTCTGTACCTGCAGTATGCTCCCACCCTCCGGGCGCACCCTCTCAGGCAGCCCTGCCACTGGCCTTGGGTTCACCCTCACACGTATATGTTACCAAGCAGCGAGGCACAACAGGTCCAGGTCTGTCCAGGCACTGGCAGCGTAGTGGCGTTCTCAGCAAGAGAGAGCCAGGACACCGAGGCTTCTGCAGGGAAACTGCAATTTCTTAAATGCCGGTGCTGGCTCAGCAGATTCGTATCCAAAGGCTGAGCCCCGAATTTCTTGGGGCTCTTCCTTTTGTTTGTTTTAGCTTTGTCTCCCATATATGGTTATATCATACTTTTATATACATTTGATTGGGTAAAAGACTACTACAGAATTATGTAGGCATGTACCAGGCTACCGGGTTGTTAGATACACAGGCACACGTGAGTTACAGAGTTGCCAGGTTGCTATCAGGGAGACGAGGTCACTAAGAGTTGCTAAGGTGCTATGGGGACAGGGCGCTAGGTCACCACAGGCTGCACGTGTGTTTTTAAGTTCTAAGCATGCTCGTTATCTTCCTTTGTCCTAGAAGGCCTCCTTACCACAGCAGGACCTGGCCACCACTTGCTGCTGGCTATTAAGACCCACTACCGGGACCAGCAGTTAGCATAATGGCTATGTTGCTGGACTCCTATGTAGTTGACCGCGGTTCGAGTCACGGATCCGGTGGTTTAAACTCACACCTGGCACGTGTGCGTGCGTGCCCAAGATCCCGAGAGGAAAATGGAGAAGGGATTGCAGTGTGGCCATCCCCCCTGGGGGGTGATTTCTCACTTTCTGTCTCTCTCTGTCTTTCTGGCGAGCACACGTGTCCTATAGCAAAACCTCTCAAAAAAAGAAAAAAAAAAAGACCCACTACCCTGCCGCCACGTCCAGCAGGTACAAGCTGTCACGCTTACCAAGGACTGGTCCAGAGGCCATCTTTGTCCTCCGCTCTGCACTAGAGGCCTCGAGGAGAGCAGCTTTCCCAGAGGTGACTCTTGCCTCTAGCAGCAGCTCACTCTTGCGGTCTCAGAACTTCAAAAGCATGCCTGAAGTATGGAGGTGGCAACAGTAAAGATTTGTTTTTTAAAGTTTTTTTTTTTTTTTTTTTTTTGGGGGGGGGGGAGAGATTTTCACTGTAGGGCGCGTGCGCTCGCCAGACAGACAGAGAGAGACATAGAGACAGAAAGCGAGAAATCACCCCCCAGGGGGGATGGTCACGCCGCAATCCCTTCTCCTCCATTCTCCTCTCGGGATCTTGGGCACGCACGCACACGCGCCCGGCGTGAGTTTTAAGTCACCGGGTCTGGGACACGAACCGCGGTCGACTACGTGGGAGTCCAGCGACATAGCCATTACGCTAACTGCTGGTTCCCTGTTTTTTAAAGTTTTGACAGAGGGCGTGTGCACTTGCTAGAGAGTAGTGAGAATGAGTGAGAGAACTCCCGCTCTCCCATGGGGGACAGGCACCCTGCAGTCTCTTCTCCTCCATTTCTCCCTCCTTTTAGGACTTTGGGGCACACATGCACGTGCACCTGGTGTGGGACTTGGACCCCACAGTCAGCCATCTGGGATCCAGCCACCTTAGTCACCACGATTTGCTGGCTCAACATTTGTTTTTCTTTTGTTTGATGGTGTTGTGTTTTTAATAGAAAGGAAAGTTGCCACGATCTTCCCGCTGAAGACAAGGCCACTCTGTTATGTTGCTGAGACTCAGCTTGTGCCGTGCAATGGTCGGTACCAGGGCCTGTCCCCTTCTGGTCAAGTAGGAGCCTAGCGACTGCCTGGAAGAGGTAGCCAGTCAGAGGAAGCTCACTTCCTGGCCTGCCCTTTGTGGGAAACACCCTCATTGGGCTCTTGTCTCCTGCTAAATTTGGGTCAGAGGATCCTGGGAGTCAAGAGAGGAAGGCTTGAAGTCTTTCTTTCTGTTGGGGCTCGGGCCTGTCAGCTGTTGGTGTTTCCCCAGCAAGTAGCCCCCTGCTGGCCAGGCTGTTCATATAAAGGCCCTGTCTTCCTGAGCTGAGGATGGCAGTTCAGGGCTCCGGTGGAGGCGCAGGTCTGCCCACAGCCACTCCAGCCAGGCCCCTCCAGGCCTCCAGGAAGCCAGCTGGATGTGGCTGCTCCACTCTGGCTGCCTCCCCAAAGTCTCCTAGGGCCCACAGTAAGGGGTCCAGATAGCTGCTGTGCTCGGCCGGCCCAGCTCCTGCACTGTGGGCATCCTTAGCCGTTCTTCCTTGCCCACAGCGGGCGCTGGCCTTGGGTGGAGGCCCGAGTGTGCGTTTCTCTTGCCGCCTGTGTGGAGAATATGGAGGCTCTGGTGACCCGCGAAGCCCATTCAGCAGCGGGAGCAGATGCTCTGGGCTAGGCAGCTCACCCCATCTCTCCTGGGCACCTCAGGCTGTGCAGACCCACAAGTGACTGCGTTTTTACCTCACTGTGGGACTGATTTTTTTCTTTTGAAAGGTTTTTGCTATGGGGTGCGTGTGCTTGCCGGCACTTAGGGTGGTACCATCCATCTCCCTGTCTCCTGTGCTGGGCTCAGCAGGGCCTGCAGCTCATGCTGTCGCTGAGCCACGTTTCGTACACGCTAGAAACCCGACTCGCTTTGGAGGACGGCAGTGGCATCCCCTGTAAGATTATGGGTGGCACCCGTAAGCGGTGGGGCCCAAGCAGCTTCCTGAGCCCACGCGAGATGAGGATGTCGTGTGGAAACGAGGGGCGACTTCCTGGCACTTGCCTAAGTCTGCTTCAAACCGTGGAGACAGGCAGTGTGGACAGGCGAGGCTCTGGGGCTTCTCTGCAAACTCCACCCTGGGTGGGGCTGAAAGAGCAGGATGAGGCAGGGGAGGGAGGAGGGCCTTGTGCCCAGGAGGAGCGAGAGGAGAGGCAGAAACACTGAGGAAGGTGATCCCTGTGGCTGGTGGCAGGGGAGCTGGCAGGGAGGGCGGTGGCTGAGGGGAGCACAGGCAGGGAGGAAAAGCCTTGGGCTCTCTCCTCAGCCAGAGAAGGGGTGGTAGGGGAGCCTGCCACACCTGGATTCTGCACAGTTGGGCCGGAGTTGGCCTGAGGGGGACTTGGGGCCTTAGTTCTTCCCACTCGGCCCTCACCCCCGTGGCCCCAGCTGTTCCTGGCTGCTGTTGTAGTAAGAAGGGTGCCTCGGGCTTGGCCACAGCAGGGGCTGCCTTCACAGTGGGCGAGCTGCTGCTCCCTTGCCGCCTCCCAGCAGGCTGTGCAGGGCGCACCAGACCCTTGGGTGCTGAGGGAGCCTGGGCCAGATAGCCTCCTCCTGCAGCCTGTGAGCCGTCACCTCAGGTCTGGCTGAGGTCACCCAGCCTTTGCCATCATACTGAGGCCACCCGAGCCATCTGTGCCATGCAGCCCCGCAGTCCCCGGCAGAACAGGGCTGGGTGTTCAGGTGCTGGCCCATGTCAGTGGGGGTCCCTTTGTGGGCACTGGGCTCACACACAGCAGCCACCCCGCCCCCAGAGTCGAGGCGCCTTGAGAGCCCTTCCCGGCGGTTTCATTCAACGGTGGCGATGGCCCCTGCCCCCTGTGGGCTGCTTCCCAGTGCAGCTGCGTCAGCCTTGGGGGACAGCCTGTGCCGCCACGAGGGGGAGGACACCGAGCCTGCTCCATCCATTTTCACGTGGCTGTCTGTAATTCTGGGCCCCTCTGCTATGTGCCAGCTGGGACATCCTGTTTCATGGACAGGAGGCCACACTGGCCGTGGAGTGCCCTGCTGGTGGACGCACCTCCACTGTGGGGTCCAGCCTCCTCCAGCCATGGTGCTGGGGCCCCTCCGCGGCAGGTGGCACCCTGCTGGTGGCCTGAAACCGGTGACTTTCCTTTCCTTTTCCAGCTGTTGGAAAACCCGAGGAGTCCTTGGAGAGTACAGAAGGCTTCCGGGCTGCAGAGCAAGGTGGCCAGAAGCCCTTGGCGGAGCCCCCTGCGTCCACCTGCATGCCTGCCAAGCCCCTGGCCTCTGCACCTGGCCTGTGGGAAGGGAAGAAGAGAGGGGACCCCCCTGGGGAGCCAGCAGCCTTCCCCCAGGGGCTGCCGGCCGGTGCCGAGGAGCAGCGGCAATTCCTCACGGAGCAGTGCATCGCCTCCTTCCGCCTGTGCCTGAGCCGCTTCCCCCAGCACTACAAGAGCCTCTACCGCCTGGCCTTCCTCTACACCCACAGCAAGACCCACCGGGTGAGTGGGCCGCCCGGGCCGCAGTGTCTTTGCAGAGGTCTGTGGTAGAGGGGTCGCGGCAGCTGCACGTGGGAGGGACGGGAGACAGGAGCTAAGAGAGACGGGGCTGGGCCAGAGAGTGTGCCCCCTTACACGCGAGGGGTAGATGTGACGCTGGCCCTACTCAGGGTGGAGGGCCTCGGGCTCAGGATGGTTGTGGGTGAGCGAGGAGGCCCCGGGCTCATCCCTCTTCACTGTGGGGTTCTGTGGCGCCCTCACTCCGCCATCAGGGTCCTGCGCCACCCGTCCACCATCAGCCTAGCCGCCTGCCCGTCCTCCGGGTGTCCTGGAGACCTTCCCTGCTCTCTCTCTGGCCTTGCTTGCCCTGGGCCCTCCCTCAGGCTGCATCTTGCAGAGGCCTCCTCGCCATCACCCTGCCCCGGGCCCGCCTCGCGGGTACAGCTGCCAGCACCGTCTGCACAGCCTCTGCTCCGCGAGGGCTGGGTGCTGACAGCCCTCCTCCAGCTCTCTCTGGAAAGCAGATGTAGTGATTCCTAGCAGCTGTGCCTCGGGCCTGAGGGCCCCCAGGGGCTTCTTAGCCAGAACGCTCCCGCTGGCTCTCAGCCTCTGTGGAGGGAGCGAGGCCGGGGCAGGGCCCGAGGTTGGGGCAGGGCCCGAGGCCGGGGCTGCTTTCCTTCCCTTCCATCCATCCTCACTCACCCAGGAGGCCTTGGGCCGTGGTGCCCCAGTCGTGGCGCCTGCTCCAAGGGGGCGGTTGATTCTAGAACCTGCAAATGAAAAGACAAAGCCCCATCGTGACCACAGAGACCATAGCAGGGCGCATGGGGCGGGGGGCGGGGCTCCTGCTGGGACTCCAAGAAGGTGCCATTTATGCCACACCCGTGTGTGAGCGGACCAGCCAGAGCTTGAGAACAGGAGAGCACCTGGCCAGGGCAAGCAGCCTGGGAAGGGGGCGGCCTGGGCCAGCAGCCTGTGGGGGCGAGCTGTGAGACCTGCCTGGGGAGGCTCTCCCTGCACAATCAGTTCTTTCTTGGGCCCTGCAGCCTCTTCCCTCCCCTCACCGCCCGCCTTCTCTGCGGAATGTCTGAAGGACCAAGAAGGGCAGTTGCCACAGTGGTGAACTCTGGCTTGGCAGTGGCCGTGCAGGGAAAGTTGATGTCCACACACTCTGTTTGGGGAACCAGGCATGCGGGTCTGGAAGGCTGATGCCTGTCCCCGCAGTGACTGGCACGCTCGTGTACCTTGGCTTGTTCCCTCGGAGCGAGGAGGCGGAGCAGCCTGCAGGGAGCAGGTCTCCCCCGGGGCCTGAGCTCAGGCTCTGCCTCAAGGTGAGGGGAACGCTGCAGGCATTGGCAGGCTCTGGCTTTCCCGGGCAGCCGGTGCCCCCCGCCGCTCCTACTGGTGCCACAGCAGCCCGCGCCTGGCAGTGGGCCTCACCTCTGCGCCCCAGGCCCTCTGCACCCGGGTGCGCCTGGCTCATCATAAACCCCAACCAGTGTTCCCTCTGCTGAAGCAGTCTGTGGACTCAGGGTGGGGGCAGCGACTGTACGTGTCCCCCCATCCACCAAGCCCCCTGTTGCTTTGAGGTCTTCCCCTCGTCCCTATTTTCAGAGCAGCAGAGCCTCCTGCAAGAGCCCTCCGTGGGAGGGACAGTCGCAGCTGTCGTCCAGTCCTCCACCACCTGGGGTGTCCCCTTTAGAAGCTCCCCCGCAGTCCCGTAACCCTCTCCAGCTGGACGCAGTGTTTCTGGTGCTGAGTGCATTCCCCCATGCTGTTGAGGGCGCCTTCTCCAGAGCACTGCCGAGACAGAGTCTGGGGTACAAGGTGTTTAGGAGGAGTTAGCACCGCGGACCGGTGTGGGCCGACCCAGGACCGGGCGGGAGGAAAGCCACCCCTGTGATGCAGGCCCCTCCCAGCCCAGCCACCCAGCCCTGCCTCCCGTGGAATCCCATTCTGAGCCCAAGGGGCCGACACACATTCAGTGCTCAGCCCGGGCCAGGCCTGACTGCTGTTGCCACACTGTCCCCTTGTATAAAGAGGTTTTTAAAGTAGAAAAAACAGTATTCCTGTCAAATTAAATAAAAACCAGATAGTGGTGTGGGGGATAACCACAATTCCACCACCATAGAGCAAGGGCCAGCTGGCATCTGGTCTTTGTCCCAGCCCTTGGGCCCACACATGGCTGATTGTGTGCTTCTTTTTATTTATTTATTTATTTATT